TGACAAAACTGAAATCTTTTGGCTGCATTTACAAAGCCTAAGATCCAAATGTGATTCTACTACTGTTTACCCTGAGTCTCAAAGACACTTTATAATAGAAATGTTACAATCCGAGAACGGTTTACATTTACTTCTACTATAACATAAATGAAATATAATGCTATATGTAAAAATGTAAACTAGGTCTTTTTTCTTTCCTTCCTTTTTCCCCTTCCCTTTTCTTCCTGTCCCCTCATGCCCTTCCTCCCTTCCTTTGTCCTTTCTTCTTTGTTCCTTCCTAGCACTGGTTATGTCTATGCTATTGGACCAGAATGTATGTGAATCTCCTGGGAAATTTGGCCACGTTTAAGGAGGACTATAGTGAATTTTTTCTCTAATATTCCCATACCGCTTCCCTCATTATCGCAGGAGACAGAACCTCTGGGCTGACCATGGGCAACAGCATCATCCTCAATAAATATCTATTGAGCATGCCCTTTGTGCTGAGCTCTGAGGACACACTGAGGCAGAGTGTATGGTCCTAGCCTTTGTCAAATAAGTTGCTAAGTAGCAAGTGGAAATAGTTAGAAAGAGAATTAGAAAGAGAGCAATCACAGTGGTTGGGGAGCTGGGCAAGACTTCTGGGGAAAGGGGAAGAGTAGTAGCTGACTTAGAAGAGGAACTGGGTATTGTAGGTGGGAAGAATAGTTGGAAGAGGGCACTGAGGCAATTACCATTTTGAGGTGCAGAGTAATCAATATCACAAATTTGCCTAAGATAAGATTCTGAAATAGGAAATGAGACCGGAAAGAAAGAACACCTATTTGAGGAGACCCTTCAGTGCTTGACTGAGGAGCCTGAACTTCATTTTCTGAACCATGAGAATCACTTAAGGTTCTTGAGCATATGAAATATGTGTAAAATAGTGCTGCGAATAAGATTAAAGTTAGCCAAGCACATAGATTGAATTGGAGGTTGGAGTTACTTGAAATAGAGAGAAGAATCAAACAGTAATCTAGTACAAAGGCTTTTTCAACATGGAAAATCCTTATGGAATATTTGGAATTATAAGCAAGATACAGTTAGAATTGTAAGTACAATGATGATGGTAAAATACAAGACAAAACAAAAAAACATGTTCAGTGGACAAGACTGGAAAGAACTACAAATATAACAGTGACTGGATCTAGCTGGTAGCATTATAGGTGATTTTAATCAATTTTTTGACAGTGTGGTCATAATTTGTCAGTACAAAAATTTGTGCAAATAAAATATAATTGACAGCAAAAGAGATACTAGAATGAGACACTGATTTTACATGAAATGATGAATTATGCTCTAGATATGATGAAGGCAAACTATTTAAAAATGGATGGCTTTGGAGCAGCTAGTGACACACAACTGAAATCTGGGAGGGCAAGATTTGACACCCTGTTTTGTGAGCCATGGGAGTGGCTGCGAATTCTGAAATGGTGTTCAAAGCAAGAAATACTGAGCAGGAAGACCTGAACCTTGCGGGTTTTCCCAAAGCGCACAAAAGGAAAAAAACAAGAAAGTCCATGTAAGAGACTGAATATAATTTACCTGAGAAAAAGGAGTGTTAAGACTTATTCAGACAAAGAAATCAAAGTTAATGAGTAGTTTATAAATTTATTGACTTTTGAGAGGTTGGGGGAAAAAAAGACTGGAAAAAGCCACTTCTAATTTCTTGGCCTGATGGAGCTAAAAAACTAGTACTAGCTTCATTTATTGTCTCCTCTGTGCACCATAACATGTATGTTATGCCTATTTCCTTTTATAGTGCTCATAACAATGCCTTGTGTTGGGTACCAATATCATAATTATATCACTAACTACAGATGAGAAAACTGAGAATTTAACGTGATAGGAACCCGAGAGATTATGTGACAAATCTTCTCTTATTTCATAAGAGAAGAAGATAAAAAAAACCTCACAAGGTCCCTTGACTCGTCCAGGAAATGCCTTGAGGCAATCATATCATTTGAATCTCATCTGAAGAATGGGAACTCATGTTGCAGAGGGAGGTTATACACCAAAATTTTTCCATTGGTGATTGAAAACCTATCTCACTGTTTTGCTGAGCCCTTCCGACAGTAGGATTGTTAGGGATTTTTATGGATTTTCAAAATATATATGGAATAGAATTTAGTATTATTTCCTCACATTTACTTTCCACATTTTCTCAAAATATAAATTGACTACATGCCCAAATGTTGATGGCTATGTCATTTAGTATTATTCAGCTTTTCCAGGCAGTTTTCCTCTTTCACTATTAGCAGTATCATATCAGCTGTCATATATGGCAAAAAATGTTAAACCTTGCAATTGATCTATCACTAAAGTGGGTTTTTTTTCTGGAGGAGGGGCATGGTCGATACTGCTAGGAAAGACGAAAAAATTGCAATGATTCAAAGAACACTGAGTAATGAATGCCTACATGATGCTATAAGCTAATAAAGAGAAATAAAAGGAATACAAATTAAGAAGGAAGAAATAACACCTTTGTTCACAGATGACATGATCATTTATGTAGAAAATTCAAAAGAATGAATAAAAACAGCCATGGAATTAGCAAGCACCTAAAGCAAGATTACAAGATATAAGACTAATACACAAAAGTAAATCTATTTCTTACATACCAGCAAAGAATAACTGGAAATTGAAATTAAAAGCATATTACCATTTATATTAGTGCTCAAAACATGGAATGATTAGATATGAATCCAGTAAAATGAATATAAGATTCATATGAAGAAAACCACAAAACTCATAAAAAATAGAGAAGGATCGAATAAGTGGAGAAATAGTTTATGTTCATAGGCAGAAAGACTCAGTGTTTTCAAGATGTCAGTCTTCCCAATTTAATGTATATATTCAATGGAATCCCAGTCAAGATCCCAGAAAGTTATTCTGTAGATAAAGACAAACTGACTTTAAATTTTGTACAGAGAAGCAGAAAAGCCAATGTAATATGGAAGAAAAACAAAATTGGAAGATAGATATTAATAGCCTTAAAACATTATATAAGACTATGGTGATCAAGACAGTGTGATATTGGCAAAAGAATAGATGAAAGAAACAGAATAGAAAGCCCAGAAATGAACTCACACGAAATATAATCAACTGATCTTTGAAAAAAGGAGCAAAGGCAATGTAATAAATACAAGGCCATCTTTTCAACAAATGGTGCTGAAACAACTCTGGACAGTCTCTCTCTCTCACACACACACACACACACACACACAATCTAAATGCAGACAATGTACTTTTCACAAAAATGAACTCCAAGTGGATCATAGGCCTAAGTTCAAAGCACAAAACTATGAACAAGGAAGGAGAAAATCTAGATGACCTTGGATTTGATGATGACTTTTTAGATACAACACCAAAGCCACGATCCATGAAAGAAATAATTGAAAAGGTTGATTTCATTACCATTTAAAAGTTTTGGCCTACAAAAAGAATGGTTTTATGGGATGTTTGTTTTTGTTGGTGCATGTTTTTAGTATATAATGACTACATTCCTTGTGTGGAGTTGGTACATGTATATAACACGTCTTCATTTCTTTTTCATCCTCTCTTCCTTCCTCCCCATCTTCTCATCTCTTGGTCCCCTTCCGTTTTGCAAAATATCTCCCTATTTCTTATAGAAGCTTTTTAATTTGTTATGATCCCATTTGTTGATTCTTGAATCTGTTGCTTATGTAATTGGGGTTCTGTTCAGAAAATCCTTACCTGTGCCTACGTCTTTAAGAGTTTTACTTATTTTATCTTCCACCAGATTAAGTGTTTCTGCCTTAACATTAAGAACTTTGATTCATTTTTATTTTAGCATAGTGCATGGTGAGAGATGTGAGTCTAGAGTTGATCTCCTGCATGTGGATAACCAGTTTTTCACCCACCATTGGTTAAAGAGTCTTTTTTCCAACATAGATTTTTGGCCCCTTTGTCAAAGATCAGATAGCTGAATGTGCCTGGGGATGTTTTTGCTGCCTCTATTCTGTTCCACTGATCTACATGTCTGTCTATTTGTTCTTGTTTTGCTTGTTTTTGTCGGTAAAAGGCTGTTTTATTTTTTTTTATCACTATAGATTTGTAATAAAATTTCAGATCTGGGATTGCGAGGCCTCCTGCTCTGCTCTTGTTACCTAGGATTGCTTTTGGTATTCTGGGTCTCTTCTGGTTCTATGTGAATTTTAGGATTGTTTGCTCTACTTTTGTGAGGAACACTATTGGTATTTTGATTGGGATTGCATAAATTTATACGTCAGTTTTGGAAGCATGGCCATTTTGACAATATTGGTTCTGCCTATCCAGGAACAAGGCATATCTTTCCATTTTCTGATTTCCTCTTCGATCTCATTTTTCAGAGTACTATAACTTACATTGTAGAGGTCTTTAATTTCCTTAGTTAGGTTCCTTCCTAAGTATTTACTTCTCTTGGTGCTATTGTGAATTATAGAATTGTAAATTATAGAATTGTTTTCTAATTTCCTTCTCAGTGGGTTTATTTTTGGTATACAGGAATGCTTTTGATTTTTGTGTATTGATTTTGTATCTTGCTATACGACTGAATTTGGATATTAATTCTAGCAGTCTTTTGGTAGAAATTTTTGGGTCTTCTACATAAAAGATCAAGTCAACTACAAATAATGATAATTTGACTTCTTTTCCTACACAAACTCCTTTTATTTCTTTCTCTTACCTGATTGCTCTGGCTAATGTTTCTAGTACATACTATATTGAATAGGAGGTGTGACAGTGGACATCTGTCATGTTGCTGATTTTAGAGGGAAAGCTTTCAGCCTTTTCCCTTTTACTATGATGTTGGCAGTAGGTTTGCCATAAATGGCTTTTATCATATTGAGATAATTACTATACCTACTTTCTTCAGGGTTTTTTTTTTGGTGGGGGGGCATGAATGGATGTTGGATTTTGTCAAGGGTTTTTTCTGCTTCTGTACGAAAGATAATATTAACAGAATAAAACAACAAGTCACAAACTGGGAGAAAATATTTTCAAAACACATTGGATAAAGGAATAGTATTCCAAACATACAAAGAACTCATCATGCAACATCATTTTGCATTGCTGTAATAAAGTACCAAGGCAGATAAAGTTATGAAGAAAAAAGTTCTATTTGCTGACAGTTTTGGAGGTTGAAAGCATGGTATTGACTCAGTTCAAGGGAGGATGCTGTTAGCTGAATCACATGTCAAATGGCAATAGTGGCAGCATCTGTGGAAAGAAACAATCACATTGCCAAACAGTGAGAGAGAAACTCAGAGGTTGGCTCAGGCATTATAACAACTCACTCGTGAAAACTCACTGGAGACCAGCTTTCCCTTCCAAAGATAGTTCCCTCAAAGATCTAAAGAACTCCCACTAGGCCCAGCTCTTTAAGATCAGACCCCCTGACATTGCTAAACTGTGGACCAAGCCTCCAATACATAGACCCTTGGGGGACAAGCAAAATCCAAATGTTAGCACAATGCCACTTAAAATGAGCCAAAGATCTTAAAGAGACCTCACTGAAGAAGGTAAGCAGATCAAAAACATGCTCTGCATCATATATCATTAGTAAAATATAAATTAAAATAACAACATACTATTACACACTTTTTAGAGTGGCCAAAACCCAGAACATTAACAATAGCAGAAGGTGGAGAGTATGTGGAACAGGAACGCTCACTCATGTCTAAAAGATAATTTGGTTTCTCACAAAATTAAACATATTCTTGCTGTATGTATGATCCAGTTTCATGGTACTTACCACTTATCAAGGTACTTACTTATAGAGATGAAAACATATATGCATGCCAAAGCCTCCATTCAGGTGCTTATAGTAGCCTTATTCATAAATGCCAAAACCTGGAGGTAATCAAGTTGTGCAGAAACTTTGACACATCCAGACAATGGATGTATCAGTGCTAAAAATAAATGAGCTATGAGCCCATGAAAAGACACGGAGGAAATTTAAATACATGCCACTAAGCAAAAGAAGCCAATCTAAAAAGGCGCTATACTTTGTGATGTGAGCCAGGCGTGGTGGTGCATGTCTGTAGTCCCAGCACTTGGGAGGCTGAGCCAGGAAGATTGCCATGACTTCAAGGCCAGCCTGAACATAGTGAAATCCTGTCTCAAAAAATCCAAAACAAAATTATATTACATTCTAGGGACAGGAAAACTATGGAAACAAGTAAAAAGATCACTGGTTCTCAGTGATTGGGGTTAAGGGGAGGAATTAAGATGCAGAACTTAGAGGATTATTAGGGTAGTGAAAATAACTTGCATGATACTGTAATAGTGGATGTTATTATCCATTTGTTCAAACCTAGAAATATAGAACACCCAGAGTAAACCCCCATGTAAATTGTGAACTTTGAGTATTATGATGTGTCTGTATAGGCACGATCATAACAAATATACCACTCTTGTAGAGAATGTCGATAATGGGGGAGTTAGGCATGACAGGGTGGGAGTATATGAGAAATCCCTGTGCCTTCCCTTCAATTCTGATGTGAATTTAAAAGAACTCTAAAATTCCTCTAATAAACAATTAATAGAATGCATTGACAATTCATTTCAGGTGTTTAGGTTGTAAGCTGCCTAACAAGTTTCACAGTTTATGTTAATAGGAAGAATCGTAAATGGAGGTATTTGTAGATATTTTTTCCCCATTTTCAAAGTACCCTGAATACTATTTCACATATTAACAGAGACCAGACACTATTCTCTTGATCATGGCCAACAGTCAATAAATCCATCATGAGCCTACTAAAACACTGGCCCTGAGAGAGTTACTTGAAAATCTGATCTCTAACCAAGCTGGGCAGATTTTATAGGTTTTACTGTTAGCATAATATGTGACATGATACTTACACAAGACTATGATCATAACATTTCATTGTTAAATAATTTGAATTAAGGTGTATCCATTTTGCTAGATTTCCAAAAATCTGAAATTATTACATATGTTGTTCAGGTGTCTGTATATATTAATTAGCTCTAAATTTTAAATTTTATAATTAACAATTTTCTGAGGTTTTGGGGTATACTCACATGTATTAATCCTGGCTTATGTACTACCAGTGTCTTTGTTAAAATTATTTACAAAGAATGATTCTATTATAAAGTCATAACCTGGTGCTTGATGTTATGTCTGTGAAGAAAAAACAGGAAAATTATTAAGTATTTATAATTTCTGGCTTTTGCTGATTTTGGAAAAAGAACTGAGATTGCTTTGTGTATTTCATTGTCATCATTGCTATTACTTTGTATCTACGTATTTAAACAGTCCGAGTATGGGAGTTAGGGGGAAATTTTTATTTGAGTAAGACTCATATAACCCATAAACTCTTGACCATAAGACCATGTCTTAATAACCTGTCCTAAAAGCAGAATATTTAGATAAGGGCAAAAAGTTATTGAAATGTATCTCCCACTGGTCCAAAGAGTATTTTTCCACTCATTGTTGAATTATGAGTCATTATGAGGCATGTCTAAGTTAAAAGAAAGAATAAAAAATACTAACTTCAGAGGGCATTGCACTTAGTAAGCTCTATAAGTAAGCACTGTTTCAGGAAACTTCATATTAGTTACTGTATCTGTTGGATCTCAGCATCCTGCCTCATTCTTCTGCTCAGCTGTATAAGGTAAGAGGAGACTGACCTTTGGGGGTTGCACTTCCCAGGTTCCTGTGCCAGCTGAATTCAGCCTATGAGAGGCAGACAAGCAGAGACTGGACTGCAGGACAGGAGGGAGAAGACAAGGTATCCCCAACAGGATCACACTCATATGTAGATTCTTTAAAAATCGTATAGAAGTTGAGAGGAGAGTAGTAGTCACCAGAGGGTAGGCAAAGTAGCAAGAAAGGAGGGAGGGGCAAGCTGACCAACAGGAACTAAGTTACAGGTAGATGGAAGAAATCAGTTCTCATGTGCTATTGTACAGTGCCACGAAAATAGATAATGATAATGTACTGTGTAGTTCAGCTAAGCCACAAGAAAGGATTTGGAATGTTTTTACCACAAAGAAATAAATATTTAAGGACATAGATATGCTTACCCTGATTTGAAGATTACAAAATGTATGCAGTTTGTCAGAGTATCACATAGTATCCCATAAATGTGTAGAGTTTTATGTGTCACTTAAATTTTAGCTCAGTGGTGCTGCCGCCTGCCTCACAAGCGCAAGGTTCCAAGTTCGATCCCCGGTACAAAAAAAATAAAAATAAATAAAGTCAAGGTATTTCCTTCTTCCCTTTGACTCAAGCAAAAGTTGCATCACCACCATCACACACCAGGGTTTCAGATTTTAGTTCTTCCTCATCCCTCGGTTCCCCAACTTAGGGAAAATTGATTTCTTACTGTTGCTACTCAGTTCATTATGTGATTTCTTATCATCATCAGTACAAACAAGTCCCTGAACTAAATTTCCTGGTTAGACTCTGACTGATACAATCCTCTATGTAAGTATGCATACACTAGGTCATGATATGCATTTCTCATTGTGAGTAGTTGGTAAAATAGTTTGAAATCCATGATCCATTTAAATACATGTGATAGCATGCATATGTGGCACTGAGCCCAGTTCATCAGTTGGGCATTCATGGCTGTCACTGAGCTGCAGAAGTTGATTTTGGAGACTTTTCTTTTTTTAAGGGAAACAGTATGGAATAGGAGATTGCAACTCAGGACGCCAAGATTCTAATCTTCATGGGTGGCTGTGGGCAATTCATTCAACCACGTATTCTAGTATACTATGCTTATTTTGTGCATGGAACCAGAGATCTTAAAGTTGGTATGTATTTTTTAAGTACTGCTATTATAAAAAGTTGTAGAGTTACTCCTCAAAGTAAGAAGTTGGTATATGGTCTGTGATAGCTCAAATATTGGTGATATTTGCATTTGAAGGCTGTTTGAAAGATTAAATAATCATTTATCTAGATTATTAAGTTATAGTTTCACTACTTAATTACTTTCCTCAATTGATCAATAGTTTTTGTTTAAATTATGTTAGCATTAAGAACTTACAGTCCAGGGGCCGGGGATTTAGCTCAGTGGTTTCGCCGGCTGCTGCACAAGTGCAAGGACCCGAATTTGATCGCCGGTACCAAAAAACAACAACAACAACAAAAAGAACTTACAGTCCAATGTTCTAGTCTTACATTCTTGGGAAATAATAAACATTGATACAGACCATGGGAAATGCAGAATTCCAGGTAATGGTGGTTGTTAGTAATGTCAGTTCATAAGTCACATCATAAAATTGAGGTATTAAATAAGACAGATCTCACTGACAGGTAGATAATTTTTAATGCATTTTAATAAAATATAGATAAAGTGTGAGGTACCAACCTCTTTAAGATTCAGATGGCTATGGGAGGCTGAGACAGAGGGATGGAGACCCTGTCCAAAATTAAAGGGGGGAAGGGTTATAGCTCAGTGTAAACACCCTGTACCAAAAAAAAAAAATCAGACATATCCCCAAACCCTAAGTCCCAAGTATGAAATAACGACAAAAAAAGGTATGATGTTCTTTTATCTTATCAGCAAATCTCCTGTTTTCTTTTTCCATATTTAAGGAAAGCCTATTACCAAAAGGCCATAAATAGTCTTCATAATAGTAAAATTCCAACAGATATCACAATGTCTCTGGAGAGATAAGCAATTGAATATGTACAATTCCAGAAGAAATGTGAGGATTTTCTTTATGCCCTTCCTTCACTGAAGTCAGTAACTGTTCAGTAACTGAGTTTATCTAAAAGGGAGATAAATGCTTCCTACCCAGCATTAAACCTTGCACCATACAGAATCCAGATACTTTCAACCCTTTCCCAAATTTCTTATACTTGTTTTATATATTCATCACTTTCTGGCTGGTAATACCATTGAAAACTAAAATAAAACCATACTGTTGTGGAATGTATTTCATCTCTACCTGTGGAGAGTCTTTTTTCCTTAAAGCAGATTATTTATCTTAATTTCTTTAAATTCATCTAAGGTAATTTCAATAGTTATTTCTGGTTTTTTATATATTCCTGGATTATTTGCTACTTATTTCTTAAATTTAGACTATTAAGCATAGAAAAAGGAAATAAGACGATAGTAGATTTTGCTTTTGTGTACTGAACTTGAGGTAAGAATCTTAGGAGTCATGTAACACATCAAGGAAAGGTCACATACAAATAAAAGGCAATGCATAGCAACAGAAAGAAATAAATCTAGTAATAGCTGAAGATAATCAAGAAGCAAAATACTTTGATAAAATACAACACGGGAGATAGATACACATATGTAGTTGAGAGGCTCAGAGGTAAACCACAGTGTCACATTGGTACAAAAGCACATTATCATTCAGAGAAACACAGTTCAAATATAAAAGCAGTCAGTACCATGGCCATCCAAACAAAAGTTAATGTATTTGAATGATTTATGACAAAAAACCTTTGGAACCTGAGGTCATCTTCTGATTTTTAATGTGCAACTGCCCAATGATGTGCCAAAGCCTCCAAGACATGTTGATGACAACACTTAACAATTCTCTCTTATCTAGTCAACAATACGTAAGGATATTATTGGGAAAATCCTTCTGAATCAAATTATCCTCAGGAAGCCCATTTGTGGAAACAAATGAAGACTTCCACTGGGCAGAAAGGAGATGTTTTGCTATTGAGTTCTACAGGGTATTTCTAAGAATAGATGTGTTTGGATGCACGAAATGTGTACACTTTGTTTTATAATAGTCACGGCGAGGATTGATTTCTTATTAGAAAATTATCTTAGATCATTAGGTTTCTTTTTGTCGGTAATTCCTAATCCCTTTAGAGAAGATCTTCTTGAGAGTCTGGTGAAATGTATGCACTTGGTATATAAAAAAAATGCATGTTAACATGATCACAGAATTTTGAACAGTTTTTGGGAATTCTGAAATGCTCTGAACATCATTTAAATTCCACCCCCACAAACTCTTCACCATGGATTAAGAACCTTGTATTGATAACAAATTATGAGAGTTTTTACATGAGCAAAACATATCACTCTTAATCTGTACTTCTACCAAGCTGAATTAAAAATTCTGACTTCATTTAGTCATATTCAAGTTTTTTTTCATATTCTCCTTGCACCTAAGGGAAAAAATATAAAGCAGGATTTATGTATGTTTATTCATGGTACATGTATTTCATATTAATATCTCAGGTATATTATAAAACATGCACAAAATAGAAATGATGCAAGAATGACATGAAGACAACAGAAAAATTTTAATTATCTTGCTAATCATGATGATATCATACCATCAATAGTGAATCTCTCAAGGGAAATGTATGCTTAGGTCAGAATTCATCATTCCTGATAGATAATATAAATCCATAGCTCAAGTAGTCTTGGCTAATTGTAGATATTTTTGACCTATTTCTTGTTAGATCTAATTAGACTCTCATTGTTCCACTTCTTAATATGGCTGGCAAAGAATTCTTAGAGGTTAAAAAACAATTTTGGTCCTGATTTTCACCTGTGCTTCTATTATCATTATATCTCAATCTTTGATTTCTTTTCAGAAATCCTTGTAAGCCACGAGCTTCACAAATAAGAGTTGATTGGTTAAAACTAGGTACAGTAATATAATCTAGTGAATCCATTTAAGGAGGAACCTGTAAAGTTGAGGCAATGTCACTGCTTAAAGAGAGGTACTCACCACTGAAGGAACAGAGGTGTCCCTTTTCTGAACTGAGGGTCCCCTTTCTGCCCTTGGCACTCTCTCAGTATTGTTCAGGTATGATACATGGCAGATACTCCAGGGTCAATGATTACAATAAACATATATAAAGCTCATATGCTTTTGTCATTGCATCATTACATTTTCATCATTAAAGAGGAAAACAGAATTTCTAATGTTCTTCCCACATCATAATAAATTGTTTTGCCCACTCCACTTCTGTGAGTTACTTACTGCCTCTCAGTTTTCTTGAAACAGCATGTGAAAGGGTCATTGCACAACTTCTGGCCTGTGATTTAAAGTCAAAATAAAAAAAGAGCTGCTATTATAATTGTAACTACTCTTTTATACAAATGCCACATATGCACTCATGCTACTCCTAGACTAATTCAAAAGTAAGCAAAACCTCTTATCAATGCTCTTTATATGACTATAAGAGCTCTAGCTCCTCCCCCCAGTAAAAAATAAAAACATTTCCTAAGCCCTTTAAACTGAGCATTTAGTAATCTTGCTCATTAATATCATAATTATTAACAGTGAAGACCTGCTAAATTTTCTATGTCAAGGAATTTTATTATCTATCTCTCATCTTTTCATTTAACAAAGTCTCTCTCTCTTTTTTTTTTTTTTTTGTTTTTGAACAACATACAATGTGCTAAGCATCCAGCTAATTCCTGAGGTTTCAAAGATGAATTGAACTTGTTCTACACCCTCCAGGCACTAACCATCTAGTAGAAGACGCTAACAAATAATCACATCAGAGTGATAAGTGCTCTAATGGAGGTCCACATTGGTTGCTATGGGAGCAGAGTAGGACAAGCAGAGACCTCTGCCTGGGGAAGGCAAGGAGGACCTCTAGAAGGATGCTGGGTAATAGGTGAGTCTTGGCGGTATTTCTGTCAGAGGGAAATATGACCGATATAGCCCACTAAAAACTAGCAGGTAGACCAGATTTCCCAGCGTGCAGGCATTGCCGGGAAGTCCACAAGACTGGAAGAGACTTGTCTATGCATGTCCTTGGATGATGCTCTAAGAAGTCTGAAATTGATCACAAGATGGACTGAGAATAGACAAAGGATTTTAACCTACAGAGTGATATGATTGCAAAGAGAATTAGGGTGATATTTTGGAGGAATGATTGTGGAGATAAAAATCTATTGGGAATGCTCACTGGAACAAAAAATAAAAGATGAATGTTTATTCCTATCATAAATTTACTTGCTAATTCTAAACTCTTCACTAAATTAAATGTCAGCTGATGCAATTTGTCAGAGTTTAGTTTCTATTACTGAAGATGAAGTACTCATTCCCTAAATGGCCTTACCTGCACCTATCTGATGCTGGGCAACATTATAGTCTGCATGAACAGTTGTCTGTTGGGACTAGATGCTTCCTAACTTTATACATAGCATTTTTCTTCATGAGGGTATTATAGCTAGATATCAATTTTCACACACAATATCCACTCTATACAGAATGTCAACCAAAGCAAACTTACGTAACAAGCAAATGTGGCCACTGAGACCTGAAAAAGCCACCTTCACCCCTTGATACCAAACTAAAAAGAGAGGAGGAAATTCAGAGACCATATTATGACTCATCAAAGTCCAAAAAGAAAAGCTTCATGGGAACAGAGCAGTCTGTGCAACCTCCTGGAGTCCTCTTAGCTTCCAACCATATTTGCTTTTGTGTGTGATTTTCTGCAAAACAAAAGAACACATCATTTTCTTCCTTAGCATCAATTGTTAAATTCTGGTGTACCTCAGCGATGATGCTCATGCTATATGTTCTACACTCTTCTTTTTATACCGAACTAATGGTGCTGCCTTTTCATTTCTCCTGAGTTTAGACCTTATTTTGTAAAATTCCTACTTGCTGCAGCACAGGCTACAAACAAGATGATCCTTCAGAGGAAAGACCTGAAGGGAGGTAAGGCATTCTTAGACCTACGTGAAGTGAAAGGGAGATGCAATATCTATATTTAATCTCTGCTTTCAATGATAGATTCCTTTTTTTCATTCCCATAGTTGTGTATATAATGTGTAATACCAATTCCAAGTACTGCATCAAAATTTTATATGAGCTGAAGAATGTACACATATAACAAAGGAACTGTTTTCTTTACTTTCTGATAAAAATGCCAAAAGGAATGGCTATGCTCTTCCTACTTACCAAGATGATTGTTTTTTCTGAAGTTTAGGGAATAAAGTGCACAGGTGCAGGGAATAAAGGACACTTAATTACAAGGAAATAAAAGTGAAGTCATCAATTTTAAAATTTGACAGGTGAGTTTGGTTATCAGAAACACCAATTAGGCCCTCAAAAATTAAAAACTAATGCTTATTAGTGAAATAAGCATCATTATTAGGATAAAACGTCCTTTATTGGGCCGGGGATTTAGCTCAGTGGTTTTGCCGCCTGCTGTCCAAGTGCAAGGACCCAAGTTCGATCGCCGGTACCAAAAAAAAAAAAAAAAGCCCTTCATTATAGACAACTAGGTTTCTGTCTATGTAACCAGCTACAACTTATTAGGCAGTTAAAAGCTAGTATTTATGTTATACATTTACTGCACTACTAATTTTGTTTACGATTTCTCACTATGTATTTCCCAGTTAAAGTTATACTAGCATACCCTCAGGCAGGAAAAACAAGTTCTTACAACAGATTCTTCAGGGCATGCTATATTCTATTTCCTTAGATGTGTTATTTTTTGTTGTCTTGAGGTTCACTTTGGGATAGGCAGAAAATATTGAAGGTAGTTAAGAAGTAACAAAGCCTTAGAAAACTGTAGGCTGGTAACGCTCAGCTGTCTTAAGCACAGTGAAAATGGTGCCCTACCTCAACCAGCAATGGACAGTGCTGTAAACAATTTTTGCCACTTAATGATCACATGCTGCTCTTTCCTTTGCTTCTTGTCTTCAATTTACCTGGCCTGAAGTTGTAGATATCTTAGAACTGCATTTCCCACCCAGTGGCTCATATAGCCAATTTTGCAAAAGAATAAATGGTCTTAAAATAGAATTTTACTCTTGGGGGGAAATCCTAAACTAAATAGTCACAGTGCACTCTGAACGACTAATTTAAGCCATTACTTTACAAAATAAGGGATAAATCATACTTTTCATAACACTACCTCATAGGAACAATTTTAAGAGTCAAGCACTTACATTAATCGGAGTCTAAAATAATAGGCCCCTGATTTAAAATCTCCTAACATTCTTTCACACTTCATAAACCTAAAAATAAAATTGTCTCACCAAACACTGACCTGTGGGTCCGACCAACGTACTGTATTTCAAGAAAAATTAAAGAGGTCTCAAAACCGCGATGTGCCGACAGATTACAGTTTGCATCCTTAATTGGTTTTAAATGTAGAGTGAGAGAGAAGAGACTATAATCTGTGGAGAATAAGAGATTTATTTCCTTCTTAAATCAAAAGCAGATTCCACATCTCATCTGCCCCTAACCCGCCCGCCCTGCCCCCACGAGATTGTTTTTCCGTATTTTTGTATCTATTTTACCCGAAGATGACAGGTGAGGGAAGGTTAAAGTGCAGTGTCTAGTCCACCAAGTCAACAGAAGGGTCAGGGCGGGTTTATTTATTTATAAGGCGCTCGGCCTGGCCTCTCAGCTGTTCCTCCTTCACTGGCATTTGGAAGCTCTCGCCGCCCTTCAGAGAAGAGGCAGATTTGGCAGGAATGTTCTTTGTGCCCGCCTCCCTTTTTATGGGGTGGAGAGGAGGAGGCAGATTTATAATGACAGCCTTGGGGGATGGGGAGGCGAAAAAGTTTCAGCTGGCACGATAATGCCCGCTTTCTCCACAGTCAACACCGGGCCACAAACAGCTTTGGTGCCACTCCGATCCCTCCCCGTCCCCTCCCTTTCTCTCTGCAGGCTCGCGGTGGCAGGCGGAGGCATAGTTAAATTCCAGCACCTTCTCCACAGAGCTCAACTACTATGCGCTATTACTACAGCCGCCCTCCCTTTCGCTTCGCGTCCTCCCCTTCCCCGACTTCCCTGGAGGCGCCCCGCAGCGCCCCGGGAAGAAGGACGCAGGCAGAGGCGTCCAACTCCAGCGGGGCTCGGGTCCCTCCGCGTCCTGCGCAGTTTCCCTGCTCTCTCAGACACTCGGATCCACGCACACAGCAGAGCCGTGGCGAGCCACATTCTTGCACACCCCCTTCGAGCCCACCTCCTCCCGCCCCGCGCTCCGGGAGTTGCCGAACCCGGCGAGTGACAGGCGCGTCCCGCCAACCCGCGGCCGGGCGGGCGGGGAGGAGCGGAGCGCGGGGCCAACTGCTGCGCGTCTTCCGGCGGCCGAGGAGGCCGCGGGGGCGGGGCGCGGGGCGGAGCCCGGTTTGGGCAGAGGAGGGGACGGCTGTCATCAATGAAGTCATATTCATAATCTAGTCCTCTCTCCCTCTGTTTCTGTACTCTGGGTGACTCAGAGAGGGAAGAGATTCAGCCAGCACACTGCTCGCGAGCAAGGTAAATATAACTTACAACTCCTTTCTCCTCTTTTCCCTCCCTTCGGCCTCGCCGCTGCAGCCGCTGCGAACCCTCCGGCACCGCGCCGCCTTCGCGGGGGATTGTTCATTATTATCCTAATTATTATTTATGGTGCATGCACGGAGACCAAAACAGGCGGGCCAACAGCCACAACAACAACAACAACAGCAACAAAACAACAACAAAGCCCTCCTCCTCCCCGCCGGCCTCAGGTGGAAGGCTCCAAAGCCAGCTCCCGGGCGGCGGTGGAAGAGACCGCAAAGTTTGCACCGACCCTCGCAGTTCTGATAATAACAGTAATAATTACTACTTCAAGGGGGCACGGGGGAAGGAATCCCAGCAAACCACAGCCTTGACCCTGGGAGACAGTGGCGCGCTGCCAACCCGAGGTTGCCACACACGCTCCGCCAGGTTGCACTCCCCCCATCCCCTTAAAAGCCCAACTGGGGAGGAGGGGGTGGCAGGAGGAGGAGGAGGGGGCGAAAGGCTGGGGGACTCCGGAGGAGGATGGAAACGCGACAGTGCATCCCGAGCCGTCCTCCCGGAAGAGTTGGAAGGAGAACGGGAAAGCAGGGCGAAGAGCCCGGGTTGGCAGCCGGGCGCCAATGACCACAGCTGCCACCCGTTTCCCGGGGACCTGTTTAAAGGGCTCGGGCTGCGGAGACGCGAGCAGATCGCCGCGGGAGGGTCGGAGCCGGCGCGCCGAGGAGGCGCCGATCACTGTCGCCGGGCCGGTGCGTGTCGGATCCGAGGTGTCACCTCCGCTCTCCGCGTTCCCCGGGCGGGCAAGGGGACGCGGACTGCTGGGCAGGCCTTTAGGTAAAGGGGCTGCTCCGGGGGAGGGGGCTACGTCCCGGGCGCCGCGGAGGTCTGCGCGGTACCAGAGACGGTACCTGGTGACAGCGCGGGTGCTGAAGTTCGAGGTGCCCGGCCCGGGCCGCAGCAGTGGGCGGCGGGCGGGAGGAGGGGCCCAAAGAAGGAGGTCGGAGGTGCCAGCTGGGCTCCGTTACCCTGCCCTCCCCCTCACCGGGTTTGTGTTCCTTTGCTTTGAGTCTTCCCCTGGCTAGCGCCTCGGGAGCTGCGGCCGTGGGGCTCCTGCCATCGTCTGGGTGCTAGGGGTGCGCTGGGACCCAGGAGAGCCACAGCGGCTGCGGGCCGGGGAGGCCATGATCCGGATAATCTTCTGCCAGACTGTCACGAACAGGACCCGCGCGCACTCTGGCAGCGGCGGTGGCGTTCGCGGGGAAGGGGAAGGGCTGCGGTGGGGAAGGAATGGGGGTTAGCGAGGGCGGGAGGCGGGGAGACAGAGTGGGAGCCTCCTCCCAACGATGACACGCACCCTTTCCCTCTCTCCTAGCTTTGGAGTTTGCTTTATTCCCATCCAAACCTGGTTTACCCTTTCCTCTGCTCTCCCCTTCCATCCTTCCGCCTTCCCTCCTCCTGTTTTGCGTTACAAAACATGGCCATGCCATCTGCAAAGGTGTCGCGATGCACTTCCACAAATAACCGGTCCGGCGCGCCAGCCCTCGGCGCCCTCCGGCCACTGGGTGCACACCGAGCACTGTGCCACGGGGGTGCCACGGGGGTGGCCCCGACCTCGCAGCCTGGACGCAGTTGCACCACGCGGGGCGGGGCGCGGCAGTGCGGACTCCAGGGGACACCCGCGCCCTGGTCCGGCACTCGGGCCAGTTTCCGGTACACGCGGGGAAATCGCCTCCTGCCAGTGTCTGCGCGCTCTCCCCCGCCTCCGCCGCCTGGATTGCGTTATTATTTTTATCCGGGTTGCCGTTTGCTGCGGATGGTGGTGAGTGCTGGGCTGCTTGAGGGCGGGGGTGTGGGGGTGTGGAGGGAAGTTGTACGTGGGTCAGGCAGGAAAAAAAAAGTTTGGCAGGGCAGCTAAGTAAGGTGGAGGGGTGGGAGAGGGCAGCGAGCTCGGCGCCCCTAGTCCCCGCGCCCTCGGGTGTCTGCGCGGAGGGTGCTCGCCGCGCGCCGGACCAGTGCGTCGAAGCAGCGCGCCGGCAGCCGCTCTCGCCCTCGCCCTTCCCGGGAGCCCGGGGCGGACACTACGAGGTTCGGTGGCGAGGGCTGGTGGGGGTGGCGTGTGAGCGTGGCTGTGAGTGAGTGTGTGCTCGCGCGAGCGGCGGAGAATCAGGAAGTCACAGCGGTGAAGCGCACACAGACATGTTTGATCGCCGTGACATGACGCGCGCGAGGAAGGAAGCGGCAGCGGCGGCCGGGCTGCGGGCTCGGACATTGGCCTAGGTCGCGGCGTGGAGATCCCTCCTAGCCGCCGCCGGAGCCCCGCCGGCCCCGCGCCCCTTTTTGTTCCTCGTCCCCCAGGTAAGGAGCCTGCGCCGCTGCCTCCCGCTGTGTGCCGAGCTTTCTGACTCTCCCTGCCAGCCCCCTCCGGGCTCCGGCTCGCCTTTCCTGCAAATTCAGGCCGGCGGGGGAAACGGGCTCCTTCCTCGTCCTCCGATCGATCTGCGTGCAAAACTTTCCAGCGGGAGGCACCGTGAGGGGGGGGAGAAGGCCTTGTTGGGCTTCTGTCGCTTGTCAGTTCTTTCTTCTCCGGGTCCTGAGAGTGTGAGTCGCGGCGTCCTGCGGTTTTTGCACATTCAAACTTCGGGCCTAAACGTGCCTCCAACTCTCGCAGGATTTACTCCAACAAGAAAATAAATATTCCAAGTCATCCGTTCACTCTTGCCAGGCATTTGTATGTTTTATGTGAAGGAGGAAGGCTTGGGAGTCGAGGAAGTGGGGGTGTTGTGCAGAATCCGTTCCTTATTCAATGTCTGCACCGAGTGTTATGTAATTTTAGCAGCACATGGGTGCAAAGCCCACACTGGGCTTCTTCTTTCTTTGTTTATATAACTTTTAGGAGAGTTTTGTTAGGTTGTCTCTGTTTCTCCCATGGTTCTTCACCTGACAGAGGTTGGTGCTTTGAAAAAACAAAGCGACCCAGGTTAGTAATGTTTTGGAGAGATGTCATCATTTGTCGCCTTTCTGGTCATTATGTAGGCATGTACTCCTTTGTATGTGTAACGTTGGAGCATAAGGAAGACATTAAGGACACACATTTGTTTATTGCATTGAGTGGCTATTTTTAACCTCTCTGCCTTACCAATGGTAGAGTTAAATTTCAAACTTTCATCCCACAGGATATTTTTGAATTTACACCTGGTTGTATGCCTTGCTTGCATGAAGAGAATGTGCCTATGAACAGTGAGGTTTCTTAGAAATTGGGTAGCAGAAAATTCCTGTTCCACTATCCAAGGTCCACACCACTGAGAACCATACTAAAATAAAAACCATACCCTATGCCGTGTGTGTGAGTGTGTGCGCGTGCGCGTGCATGTGTGTCTGTACTTAAATGTGAACATTTAGATGTTTTCAGTAATATTTTCCACTAGTCTTTTGCGGGGAGCCACTGGCTGAAGCCTGTTGGGCATATTAGACTTGGTAAGATTCCAGGCTACTTCTAGCACCCTGGAGAAGAGGTAAGAGGTGTGGCAGGCTTGGATCCTAGTTGGTGCATTGTTATGCAAATCGAGACACTCTCTTTCAGGAATTTAATTGCCCTTTCATTTTCCTGGAGTTACTTTCTTTTAAAAATGCTTTCTTTTAATTCACGTGTTTACTAGGTATTAGAAAAGGGGGACACCTGTTAGGTCCTCAGAGTATTTATTAGACAGGAAAAAAAAGTGTAGATCGGAGGTCCATCTACCTCGTTGGGGGCATGAAAGAGATGTCATGTTGGTAAAGAACATTTTAAAATAAATTAGGGATTTGGGTTATCAGAACCCTTGCAGGTGAGGTGAGGGAGGGCTTTTTTTAATGCAGTCTTTCCCCTAAGAGTTCTATCAGTTACATCTCAACACTGGCACCAGCTACACTGTGGTGTTTCACAGAAAATATTCACCACAAGAGCATGTTCAAAGCAGCCTCAGATCTTTTCTTTTGTTCGTTTTTAAAGTGGTTTTTGAGCATTTCTCATCAAGTTTCTTGAAAAGTGCTTTGACCAACACCTGAGGCTTAGAATTGGCCAAAAAAAAAAAAAGGAAAAGAAAGGAAAAAAAGTGTGCCTTTGCTTGTATTATATTGTTAATGCTTGAATTCTGTTTCAGGTATTCCTGACAGAATATAAGTAGAAAGTATCCCTTTTGCAGGTAATTATTTAAGACTGTTTTACTTTGATTAAGGTTAAGTCATTCCACAAACTGGTGTAAAAGCACATCCCATTCTTTTCTAGAAGGTAATTGTGATACCCCTTATAATACTGTAATATTTTGGCATTTCATTTTGAAGGCTTACTGTGCATTAGAGCAATACCATAAGCAGAAAACTTTCATAAATTATAAAAGTATAGCTGTCCTCCAGTGTTTTCATGCCCCCCCCCTTTTAGAAGTCTTCCTTTGTAAACAAGGCCTTTGTCAAATTCTCTTAGGTCAGTGAGTTTTTGATACTCTAGAGAAATAATAAATCACTATTTATAACATCTTGACATGCTGCTATGTAGGCAACTGAATTATCACAAACATCATGCTAAGGACTGTTTCGCAGTCTTGGCAAGTTGAAGCAGTGTTAGTAAGACCTGATGTAACCACCAGAAGCTTTGATTCTTACTCTGTCTGATGAAGATGATTTTAAGAGAAGATACAAACAAACAATTGCTTAATATGAATGGTCTTAGAAAATTCTATACATGAGTCACATTTCCTTCTGGCGTATTTCTGGAGAACAGATGAGGAAATTTCCCTAACATGAAAAGCCACATTTGGGGACTATTTTGATTTCTTCCTGTCCCTTTTTTTTTACGTAAAAAAATGTATCTTTTAAATGGTTCCTTTTCCTTAAGTGTTGTTATGGATATTGTTTTTGGCTAATAGAGAATGCTGGATTTTCTGTCATCTTTGGAAAAGTTCTTATTATGGAATTTTAATCTCTAGCCAATTAATAAAGTCATAGCTCATTCCATAAGC